GAAGGGTGCACACTGGTAGCAAACCCCAAAGCTGGTGACCTTAGAATTCAGCCACCTGTGCCCAGATGTTAAAGTGAGTCACATGGGTGGGGTTGACACCGAAGGCTCTGTCCCCTGGTCCCACTCTGGTGACAACCACAAAGCTAGCCACCTCACCAGCCTCCCCCGCAAGATGTCTTTCAGAACAGGACAGAGCCATCTGTTTGCAGTGTGGCCCCAGCAGTGGTGCACTCTCTGGACATGCCTTTTGGGGGGCAGCTGTTACCTGTGAATGAAGGGGTGGTCAGCATGTAATTCAGGGGTGCAGAGCTTCTCCCCACCATCAGAGCTGGTCCAGATGCCATCAAGAAGATTAGCATTTTAGAAATAACCCATTTGGTTCATTTCAGAGCTGTTTACAGAGACATAGACCTGGGTATATTCTGGGTACCAATCCAGGCTGCTCCTGCTCCTATTCCCATAGTAGAGTGGACAGCAATTTCAATCCTCTCCCAAAGAGCAACCCCAAACCCCAGGATCCCCTTTCCTGTTTGAGATAGCCTTGGCCAACTATCCCTGCTTCAGGAATATTTGAACCATGCAGACAATATCAACTCCACTGGAGCAAGGATTACTTCTTTTCCTTCTCCTCCCTCTCCTCCTCCTCCTTCTAGTTCTTTCGTTCGTTTGGTACTGGGGATTGAACCCCAGGCCTTCACACTAAGCTGTATCTCCAGCCCTTTTTTAGTTGAAGACAGGATTGTACTAAGTCACTAGGTTGTCTGGGCTGGGCTTGAGCTTGGGATTACAGGGGTGCACCATCGTGCCTGGCTTGGGGCAGGGACTTCTGTCCTACTGGAGAACAGCACTCAGGACCCAGAGGAATGTACGGTGGCAGTATTTGTTGAATGAGATACGAAGGGGAAAGGGGGTTTTAAGCCCTTGTCTTTCAACGCAAGTTGTCATCATCATGGCCATCCTGCTTCTCCCCCTTAATCCAGGGAACATTTCAAACAAACCAAGATAAAGGAAAATACTATAACAGTAGATCCACATATATCCATCACCCAGCTTCAACAGCTATTCAGCCAAACTGCTTTTTTTTTTCTTTTTATCATAGAGATTGTAAACCCCCACCCAAGTGGGGACTGCTACTACATCACACATTTCAGCATTGTCTGCAACACCAGCCCAGCTCAGAACATGCTGCAAATGATCAGGGAAATAACCCCACTGGAGCATCTCTAACCTCTTTAGAAAGAAACAAATCTAAGGTCTTGCAATTATATTGAACTTCCTTGCTGGAAAACAATCCAGAAAATGGCTACTTCTTCTTTCCTTGATCTGAAAAGTGGCCCCCAAATTCCAGCCAGTGCATACATAAACACAGACACGGAGACATATATAGAAAAGCGCCCAACATCCAGCAAGGTATTATCTGTGTTTATCTTATCACAATAACACAAAACCAGCCGCATTTAGAATAAGGCTCTTAGTCTCTGCAGCTAGGCTTCTGTTCTTAAACCACCAGTTCAGTTTATAAATCCACCGTCCAAGGCAGAAAGCAATTTGAAAGGCAACATTATTTCTGCACAAGGCTGGGGCTGTGATAAAGAGCTTGTGTGGCTCCAGTCTGCCAATAAATCCCTGGGCCCTGGGCTTATGGGGAGGGGCCTTGGTAGAGGACTGGGAAGCTTCTGATCCTTCCTCTGCCTGGCAGAAACGTCACAGCAGACAAAAGAACATTTGGGGAGCCCTGCAATTCATGGGGGTGGTGGTATCTGATGGGGAGGGGGGATCCGGAGGCACACAGGACACGTTTCCCTGGCTGTGACTTAGTGTTCCTCAGAGGGAGGGTCCAGCTGCTACAAGTGACCTGAACAGAGGGCATCTAGAGCGGTGACCCTGGGATGTGGAGATGCCACTTTTCTGGACCCTTGGACATTTGGGTTTTTTGAGATGGTTTGGTGGCAGTGGCCTCACTCAGTGACCATGGGAGGTTTGGTGGACAGGAGCCTCTGCCTTCCTCCTTCAGCCCAGCCGCCCCCGGTAATAAAATGAAAATGTACAAAAGTATTTCACAAAATCATAAAATATCACTTAAAAGTGGGGTGTTAGAGTTATTAACAGGAAGAAAACAAAAGAACTCTTCGGGCACAATTTAGTAAAAGGCACTGGACTAAGGCAGATGCCCCCAGCTTTGGTCAGGGTCCTAAGTTCCATGTATAAGGTATGATTAAAAAAAAATTACGATGTTTACACTTTTAAGTATTATTATAGTAAAAGACACATTGCCACTACTCTGTCTTACAATGCTCCCCGTCACTTCAAACACACTTATTCTGTTGTTCTTGACACTTTCTCAGTTAGTTCTGTTGGGAGTCCTTCTTCATGAGTGTCTTTACTTCCATTCTCTTGGCTGCCTCAGTGTCCTAGATGAATGCAAAGCATTTGCCTTTCATGGTCGTTTTGACCTTGGAGAAGAGGCACAGAAGTTGCCCGGTGCCAGATCTGCTGGATAAAGTAGGTGAAGAGACACCGTGATGTTTTTTGCAAGCCTCCCTTCCCATTGGATGGGACTTACTCGCAGCATCGACCGTATTTTTGATCTTCCTGTTACAGACGCTCATAAAAGAGGACTTCAAACTACTTCAGGAAGTGGCAAGATTGATGGGATTAGTATGTTCAAAATGAGAGGGGCCTGTTTGGGAGGAATTAATGGCAATGTTTCTTTTACCGTAATAATTTCTTTTTATTTAAACACACACCATCGTTCTTGATCAGCTATTGTATAAAATACAGATGCTGAAATGTAACTCATGAGGTTGCTGTTGGTAAGGCACCCAGCCCAGTGAAGGACTAGTAGCCTGGCTCACCAGGGTCAGCAGAACGTGTAACAGTAGCAGTACTTACAATACCATTTATTTACAATACAGTTATTAAAAGCAGGTTGACAGAGGTGTGGTGAGAAGTGAGGAGGTAGAGGAGGGCCAACTAGAATATTCCTGATGTGGGATGTGTCAGTAGATTCGGCGGAAATTTATATGGCAGTCAGAGTGAGAGGCACTGAATGTCCCCCGCAGGAGTGTGAGCTTTGTGTATAAGACAGCGTATGGTCGCTGGAGACTTTTGAGCAAGACAGGGCAGCAAGGAGAGTCCACACAGCCCAGGGAACAGTGATAGACTCTGCAATCAGATCTTTGAACATTTGAAGGTGGAGGAGCCCCTCATCCTCCCTGAGCCTCCGTTCTTTGATCTGCAGGAAGGAGATTAATGCAGCTACTGACAGTACATCCTGCAGCTGTTCTTATAGGCACCAGACACCTGGTATCTGTCCCAGGAATGGCGACTGTTCTTGACAGTGCTTTAGGAAGATCCTTCAGCCAGTGGGTGGAAGATCAAGAGGGAGCAGCAAGATGCAGAGGCCAGCGTGAGGATCCAGGTGTGGATGCAGGCTCCACTGTCCCTTCCGGTCCCTGGGACCCCTCCCGAATACCAAATCCTCCAAAAGTCTAATCCTCCCCTTCCCCCTGCCATGACTCCATCCACCAGCCAACCTGTTTCCTTCCAGGCTCTTCACAAGCTGTAATTATACACACTTTTCTCTTTACTTAATTACTGTCTGTCTCTGCTCACAGACTCTGCCCCGTCCCAGGGTCTGTCTCGCCACGCCCAGCATCCAGGTGTTGCGGCAGCCTGTCTCCTTGGTACCAGTCTCCTGTGGTGGCCATAACGAATTACCAAAAACTGTGTGGCTCAGGATGACGGAAGTTGACTGTCTCTCATAGCTCTGGAGACCAGAGCCTGAAATCAAGGTGTTGACAAAGCTGTGTTCTATGAAGGTCTGGGGAGAAGCCTTGTTCACTGCAGCTCCTGGTGGCTCCAGGTGTCCCTTGCCCTGAGGCTGCGACACTCAGTCTTCACATAGCCTTTCTTCTCTTCTCTGTGTCTCTCTTCTGCTAGTCCCTTACAATAACACTGACAGGGACACCCAGTCATCCAGGATGATCTCATCTCCAGATCCTGAACTTCATTACATCTGCAAAGGCCCCTTTTCCAAATAAGATCTTTACAGCTCATGGGACTCAGGTGTGTCTTTTGGGGGCCACCACCATTCAGGCCCCTGTACTCTCCTTTATGTGAGGACTCTACAGGAGGACATGACATTTCATTAGAAAGTCACCAAGTGCCCAGTCGGAGCAGCACACCATCCTGGGGACAGAACACAGCTGTGCTGGAAGGCTAACAGGGAAATAAGTGGGAGTGGCTGGTGGTGGACAGTACCTGCTCAGAAGAATCAAGCCTCAAGGGGGCATTGTGTGGCATGATAAGTGTATTGAGGGGTTTATTTTAGGGCGGCACTCAAGGGCAACTTCTGTGAGAAAAGACACTGAGGTAGAGACTGGAGGTGTAAGGGACCCGGCATCTGTCAGACTGGGGCCTGAGCAACCAGGGACAGGTTTCTCATTTCTGCTCTCCTTGGCATCACTGAGCTCTGTTACCTGAGTAGGTGTCCTGTGAATTCCTTGGGGAGACATCAAAGAAACATTTCCCTCCAAATAGAGAAGGCACCCACAGACCAATGACTCGGACCAGTCCATCTTGGCAAGTGAAGGAGTTTACTAGGGGTACTTTCAGATCAGTGGACAGCTGCACAGTCACTGCACACCTCCACTTATCGATCTCCCTTTTTATGTAGGGCTCCAGACGCCACAGAAAAAAAGCTAAAGCAAGAACCAGAATCCGAGGGAATTATGTGTTTGATGCACACTACATTCCCCTCAGGACTTCCTCTGGCCTCAGCGCCACATGGTCCACCCCAGTGAGGGACAACTCCTTTTGCTGCAGCCTGGCACACAGTGTCAGCACCCAGAGAGCACCCCACCAGGCAGCTAAATGCTGGCCTATTACAAAACGGTGTGGTCTTGCAGCTGTTTCATAAAAGGGGAGAAGATGCAGCAGAGGACAGGGGGTCTTACATTCAGGCAGAAGGTGCGCTACATATGCATGTACCCCCACAGTGTACGCAAGAGAGACCATCCCAGGATCGGTGTCAGAATGGATGTCCACGGGACCCCTCATTCTCTGAGTAGAAGAGCCTGCATTCCAGCTGTCCTGCCTGAAGCCTGCATAAATAAGGAAAGTAAACAAGCTCCCCCATGGGGACCTACCTAAGATTTGGTGAAGTCTGTTCCTCTGCCAATTAAGACCCCCATGTCTGGGCACCCCATTCTCAGCAAAGCCAGTGGGAGGGCTGGGCACCTCCTCAACCCCTGGCTATGCCTCCAATTGCCGTTGCAGCTGGGAATCCCAGCTTCTCTGCCTCTCTGTCCCCTCCCCCGGCCCCTCGAGCTCTCGGAATGTGGCACACATCAGTCCAGCCCACTGAATGACCAAGGACCCGGCCCTGTCCTCTGGGATCGGCCAGGCAGGGAGGAGGGTATGACAAGCTCACTGTATTTTTCTGTCTAGGGCCAAACAGCCAAGAGCCAACGTTACAGGTTTGGTGGCAGCTTTTCAGCTCTACCCTCTAGCTGAGGAGCAGTGGTAGGTAAACAGTACAGAAACAGATGGGTGTGGCTGGGCTTCTATTTACAGAAACAGGACAGGTGAGATTTGGGCCTCAGGCCACAGTTTGCTAACTCTTGTTATAGGCAGCAGGGAGCTATGGATTGTTCTCAAATAGAAGAATGGCATTGCTGTTTCTGAGGAAGGAAAGATGATTGTGGCAGTCACAGACCTCAGGGACAGTTGTGTCCTTTACATTGGCTTTCAGATGGCTTTTGGACTCTACTGCTGAGAACACAATGGTTTTCCCAAGATAATAGCACATCTGCCACATTGCTGCAAAGCAAGATGCTTTCTTCTCTAGGACCACCCAAGGAAAGGAGCATTTATTGATCTAATTTTTAAATATAATATTTTAAGAAAGTTTAAAGGCTTTGAAGCTCCAGGCTGGGACCCACCTAGTATTGAGGCAGTCGCCTGGGTAGAGAGCATGCAGCTCTGCCAATTTCAACCTCTGTTTTGATTAAAGATGGCAGAGAGAGGCAGTTTCTTGGACCAAGGGCTCTCTGGAGGTCAGTGGCACACACAGCTTTGGAGAGAGGAGGCCCATGAGCAGCTTGATCTCGAAGCAAAGCACTCAGACGTCTTCCTGGGGCAAGAGGGCAATTGGAGAGGGGTAGGCTTAGTCGCCCTACGTGGGCGGGTGCCTCTGAACCCCAGTGCTGGTGTTTCCCCTCTTCACTTTCCGTTTTCATCTTGGGAGTCTGATTTCACATTGATCCAGATGTTTGGTTTATAATGAAGATACTTGGCATGGGATAAAAGCTGCGGAATGTTGACAGAATTTAATACTCTTCCAGGGCTGGGTGGACCGAAGCTGTGTGTAATATTAGCGCTTTCTGGCAAGTGGACCTCATCTAGGAGAGGGAGCCTGGTGTGTCTGGAGCCTGGTTCAGATGAGAGCAAGTGTTGTAGACAGGGCTGCCGCAGAGACGTGGCCACGCCGCTCAATGCCGCCCTCTCCATTCTTCCTGTTCTCTTCTGCTCCCATACGCACAAGCATTTCATAGACATTGACATCAACATGGGTCACGCTTCCATTTTTCTCTCTGTTCTCACCCCCAGCCCATCTCATCATCTTAGGATTCCAGCAGTTTAGCAAAATGCACTCAGCATAAACAGATGGACTTGACGCAGGCAGTGCGTGGATCATAACGCCCAGCCCCCCCCACCCGCCAGCTTCAGTTCAGCAGGAGAGGCCTGGTTCCTGCCGCCTGAGCTCTTGAGGACAGAGGTCGCACTTCCCATTTAGCACAGTTGACCTAACTTTTACGTCATCATGGTTTTTGTTTTGTTTTGTTTTGGTGGTGGTGCTGGGGATCCAGCTCAGTGCCTAGTGCACACTGGGCAAGCACTCTCAACCCCCTAGAACCCATGCATGTGCAAGGTCCCTGAAGGTTTTGGAGAGAACACTCATGGAAAAAAGATCACACATGGATGTGAGTCAAGTGCACTCAGGAGTTTTATTCATATTTAGTTTCCAGTTGTGAATAATGTGTCCAATCCATGAGTCCAGTGTTAATGGAATTAATCTTGAACATCTGACATGATTTAACACATCGTTTCCCATTGCAAACATCTTTTGATCTAGCCACCAGGAGTTTAGCTAAAACACTAGAATGAGGACAGAAATTTCAACTCTTGCATTTTGGGCACAAAAAGTGAGTGTTGACTAAGTAACCCCCGAGGGTATGGATGAACCTGAGTTTGCTAGAAGGGTGCCCTGCACTGGCTAACCATTATTTTCAAAAGTAATTTGGAGGAGACCCAGGGATATAGGTGTATGGAGGATACCTAGGACCTAGGGCAGTCCTGTCATTGTTCATGGAATGAAGCGGGTACAGCAGCTTGGGTCTTCTAATCCATACTCACCAGTTGACACCAATCCCTTCCTCTAAGGTCCTATTTCTTCCTTTGGTCTGTCTGAAGCCTCCTTATGCCCTGTAGGAGGTAACTTGGATTCTAGAGGCCACTGGGAGCAGCTTCTACCCTAACTACTTTCTCCCATTGCCAGAAGAGGTCCCCTTACACTTGGGATGACACTGGGAACTCCCAAAGGTACATCCTTCAGTGCCAGGACCTAGCCCTCAGAGGGGCCATTTGTCCTGAGGGGAGGGCAAGCTTCAGACGTGTGTGTTGGGCTGGCAGCCACTGATTGGCCTGGCCTGGGACAAGGTGGTTGTCCTGGTTGAAATAGTAGCCTTGCCTTCCTGGAAAATATGACCATCTTCCCTCTCCTGCAGTCCCTTGGCCCCTGGGCCCTCTCCTAGCCTGGCCACACTTCCATCCCTGATAGTGGTGACACTGCATACTTCTCCCAGGCTCTTCACTCAGGTGTCTTGTTCCACTGGGCTCCTACAAAGCATAGCTTCCCCATTCAGGAGGCAGAAACAGGCGTGAACAGGCCTGGGGCAGATTTGCAGCATGAAAGCACACTGGTCTTCCCTCAAATACACAGTTGACCAGCCTAGAGCACTTGACAGTCACCCCCATGTGGCCTCCAAAGCTTCCAGGCTCTCCCTTCCTCCCTTCAGTTAGAGCTGTGCACCCTTACATGTGAAGCGACCTCTGACAGCACTGGCCCACATCTCTGGAGGATGTGGCCTTGGAGATGCTTAGCTTCACACAGCCTCAGTTTCTGCTGGGGTACAATGAGAATAATTATACCTGCGGGCTTGGCATTCTGTCGCTCAGCAGAGACAGCTGCTGCCTTTGATATACAGGCCTCATCATTATTAGCCTTCAGATCTTCTGCAGTCCAGCCCTCGTTCTCAGGGGGCTGTCTGCCCCATGGCTGTGGAGCTTTGCGTTTTCAGCCTCGTCTGCAGACTGTCTCCTGTGGAGCTCTCAAGTTTCCATAGTGGGGGCGAGGAACACAGCTCTGCACCCATCTGTTTTCAATGTTGTGCTCCTCTCGAAGGCTGCATTTGAAGAAAAGGATTCCCCTGCCTCATTCATTGGGAATGGAGATTTTCTAGAAGCCCCCCGAGAGTCCATTTCTTTGTCTAGCAAGGCTGGCTTGTCTGGCCCTCAGCAATGGGATGGATGCCTGTCCATCTCCTCCTTTAAGACCTGGTGGCCAAGGGATGGGGCCTAATGACCTGTGTGTGTGGAGGTAGAGACTGTTGTGCCCCTGATTCAAAGGAATTCAAATTTAAATTTCTTTAGCTGCAAGCAAAATCCCTTCAGTAGACAAATCTGCTGACTGTTCGTCTCTTTTAAGTGACCCTTTATAAACTTGAGGGCTTGCCTTGATTTCTGTCTAGGGGACACAAGCTGGGGCCAGCATCCTTTGAGCACAGCATGGGAAGTGATAAGTGGATGCCTGGCCCTGGGACCCAACCTCCTCACTGGACAGAAGCACCCAGGCACAGATGCTAGGAGGAAGCTCTGCCTGCCAGGCAGATCCAGGGTCAGGAGCGAAGGACCCCAGAAAAGGTGTGGTGCAGCTGTATTTACTGTCACAAGCCAGCCAAGGGTAACTGGGGTCTGGGAGGCCAAATCTGGGATCAGCCACTATTTGAAAGTGCAGGTGGAGTGTGGTTAGCTTCCAACTGATCTCTTGCTACACAGCAAGTCTCCAGAGGAGGGACGATGGTTCAGGAGCTAGGTGAGGCTCTGATCTCAGGAAAGCTCAGAGCTGGGGTGCAGGGGCTCATTCCAGATAAGAAAAAAAGCAAGAGATGTTGCATCTCACATAACTGTGCATGAAACCCCTGAGTCGACAAAGTCAAGATTGGTCCTGAGGGGAAGACTGAACCTGCAGGTGGGGTCAAGGGTCCAGCCATGCCTAGATCTGATGCAGGGATTGTAAATCTGGCCGTTTTAAAACCAGGCAATTTCCCTGTTTTCCAAATCATCTGCTAATCCTGGCTGACCAGCCCTGATCCTTAAGTGAGTTGCATAGGAAGCCAAACAAAAACATTTGAGGGAGCCTGGCTCTAACTCATGCTGAACACTGACCTTTGCCAAGTCTTGAGATGAATTGAGTTTGAGGTAAAGTTCAAGTTCAGTTTCCCCCTCACCAGACTCCAACCATGTAGGACTTCTTTAAGGTTTCTCAAAAAAGGCAAAGATCTTGCCCAGCTGTTGGCTTTTCTTACCCTTCCCTCTGCATGGAAAGTTCTCTTTCCTCTCCTTCCATTCTTCAGATCTCAGCTGCAGTTTCACCTCTGAAGAGCCTGTGTCTGCCCCTCTCAAACTAGATCCTCCCTGAACTTCTCCAGCAGTCCCCAGGTTCATGCCCTTTATAAATCACTGTGTGGAGGTGGCTGCCTGCTCACTTGATTTGCTTGTGTATTGGCTGTCTCTGCCCAACTTCGTAAGAGCCTGGACCCTGTCTGTCTTGTTCACTCCTGCGTCCCTGGCACCTGCCGAGAACTGTGGCACATAGAAGTGCTTGGTAACTTTTGTCCTGTAAGTGAAGGGATACCATTTAGCGGTTTCCAAGATGATCATCTTCCTTCTTGGCATTATTTCCATGTCTTGCTAGGCCCATCCTGAATTGGTTCAGGTGGAATCCGAGGATGCTAAAGGTCTGCAGGATGGTAGTCATGTAGTCCATTGGTTTATTGTCTCATTAGGTTATCCAGTGACCTGAGACAACCTCCTGTGCCCAAGTTCAAGCCATGGGGACCCAGTCTGGGCAAAACAGGTGCTTTCCCAGGAAGCTTCCCCTCTCCCAGCTGTGATGGCACTGTGGTCCCCTTCTGTAAACAGTGCATAGTGAGCCCCACAGTTTAGGACCACATCTGTCATCTGAAGCTAGAGGGAGACTCACGGAAGTCTCAGGGAGGAGGGTGATGGTGCTTGCCATAAAAGGACATCTGCCAAGCTCAGTCCCTCTGTATTTAGGTAGCATCTGAGGACAGCACTGGACTTTTGAGCCTTTGATATGGGAAGTCTCTAGAAATCCCCCCAAGGCTGACAGCAGCTTTCTGCTTTCCTTTCCAGAGGAACGCACTGTGAATGATCCTGGGCCTCTGTCAGCCCTGGCTGGGCAGGGCTGCCAGCACCCAGCAAGGTGGCTTGGTCAGTGAGAAGGGCCTTCTGTCCTGACTTGTTGGCTCATTAGCATTCACTGCTCACTTTTATGATGTGTTACTTAGCTTGTAAATTGTCTGCCTGTTCCACTAGCCTGGGTGAAGCCTCCAGGCCATATGTCGGGCACTGGTGCCTCTGATTCTACAGATAATGGTGCCATTAGTATCCTGCTGACCTCCAATACAGCAAATCTAGATGCTTCCCGGGCCACAAGTGGGTGAGAGAAGGCCAGTCCCTGACTCACAAGCTGCCCAGAAAGCCTGGCAAACCCACTTTGGAGGTGGTCTATGGGTCATGGAAAGCTGTTGACACAGGCCCTGGGAGAATAACACTGTGGCTCCCTGGGGGCCATCTATGAGTCACCTTCCAGACACTGGATGACTCTACTCAGGGGACCTACAGGGCCCCTTGGCCAGCTGTGGCCAGATGAGTCCTATTGAAGAATCTGGCAAGATGAACTGCACCACCACGGCCATTTTCCAAAGCAGTCTGCAGGGTCCTGGACTCAGGCATCTCTAGAAAATGCGAGTGGTGCACTCCCAGGGTCACCAGCTTTCTCAGAGGACCTGTTCTATATGTCTGACTTCCAACTGCACTTCACTTCTCAGCTCTGCCTTTGCCTGCTAGTAGGAGCCTTTGTGGGCCAAGTGCCAGGTGTGGGACCCCCCTCTAGACCTAATTCTATCCTTATTATTGGCAAGGTCAGTCTCAAGGAAATGGAGCAGCAAACCAAAAGCAAATCACGATATTGGATGTGTTCCTCCTTCTTGCTTCCATGGGAATGTATAGTTTATTCATTCAGCATTCCTTCCTTCCTTTCAAGGATCTGTTGAGAACCAGCTATGTGGGGGACTTCAGAGTGGGTCTTTGGCAAACAGTTGCGTGTGGCGGATTAAAATGTAGGGGGCAGCCAGCCATGGTGACACATGCCTGTAATCCCAGGACTCAGGAGGCTGAGGCAGGAGGATCACCATGTGTTTGAGGACAGCCTGGGCTACATAGTGAGTTCATGGAGCCAGCCTGAACTACATAGCAAGACCATGTCTCAAATTAAACAAACAAATTAGTAAAAAATAGAATATAAGGGGCCTAGAAGATTCCCCTGAGTATCAAAGCCCTCTTCAGAAGCCACTGACCACTTGGTCACATGGCAGATTTTCCACTGGAAGGTATAGGGTCTTTCCTTTATGAAAAAAAATAATGGAATTCACTTTTAAAGACTGTGGGCAACCATTCCCCTTGGAGATGCTGATTCCCTAGGGTAAAGTGACAAAGAGGTGCGGGTGGTTCCGGCCTTGCTTTTTTTTTTTTTTTTGGGGGGGGTACCGGGGATTGAACTTGGGTCCTTGCGCTTGCAAGGGAGACCACTGAACCGCTGAGCTAAATCTCTGGCCCTTGGCCTTGCTTTTTAAGACTATAGTGTGGTAGGTCATAGGTTATTCAGACCGGAGAAGATTTGAACTTTTGCCCTGAACTTGAAATTGACTCATAAGGGAAGCAGTTATATAAATAATAGAGCCGATAAGAAGATAGTGGAGACTTCATGGGAATAAACAGCTTTCTTTAGGGTGGAAATCAGCTCATGACTGGAGGGAGAGCTGAGCTACCACCACCACTTAACCGTTCAGGAATGAAGATTCAGTCAGAATGAGGGACTTAAAGAGATTGAAGATCTGTTCAGGGATCGGCGTTCTCCTCACAGTTCATCTCAGAGGAAGTTCAGAGTCACCTGGCCAGCCCATCTTGCCTGCTGTGGGCTCTGCTATTGACTCCAATAGTCGCTTTTCATCGGTGAAGGCATCAATGGGAAAAATAGTTTTCTTCATCCCTTGTGGCTGGATGTCTATCGTTGTCACAGGGAGAGTGGTAGGGTGAAAGAAAGGACGAGAAATGGCACCATGACCCTTCCCAATCTGATGTCTGTCACCTGGTCTGACATCTACTGCTGGCACCTCCAACCTCTACCTCTATCAGCCTTTGCAAATGCTTTCAAATGCAGCCTAACTGTGTTGGCCTTCACTGGAGGGGCTTCCAGTTGTGACCAAGACACATCCCGATCCTTAGTATGGAATCAACATAATTGAAAACAAGTGTTCAAACAAAAACTTGTACATGAACGCTCACTTCAGCATTATTCCCAATGACTTCAGTGTCCATCAATGTATGAATGGATTAATAAAATGTGATATACTCATGCTATGGAATATTATTTAGCCATAAAAGAGAATGAAGTACCGATACACAATACAATATGGATGAGACTTGAAAACATGCTGAGTAGAAGCCAGATACAGAAGACCACATATTATATGGCTTTATTTGTGTGTTTTTCAAGGTGGCCAAAGCCAGAGACAGAACCAGATTAGTCGTGGCCAGGAGCAGAGGGAAATAGGAAATGCTGGTGAATACTGGGTTTCCTTTTAGGGTGATAAGAATGTTCTAGAACCAGATGGTTCTGGAACTAGTGGGGATAGTTGCAGAGCACAGTGAATATATACTAAATGCCACTGAAAAGTGCACCTGGAAGTGGTTCAAGTTGTGAACTTCATGTTATCTGAATTATACCACAATTTTAAAAATCCTTTGTCCTCTCAGCCACGTTCCACTAGCCTCCCCATCACCAGCCATGATCAACACTTCCTCCTACTTCTGTGACAAGGCTCTGCACATGAAGGTCCCTTGGCCTCTGTGGTCCTCTACACCTTGCCCAGACAGCTTCCCTATGGAAGAACCCCAGATGGAAACTGGTTTCCCCTCATTGAATTCCAGCTGCTCCTGCCTTTCCTGACATGGCAGTCTCCCTGGGAGTTCATGGTGCTTCTCTTTGTCAGTACCCCTCCAATCTGGAGCGACGAGAGGGTAAGGATTCCTTCACTGTTCTTTGTCACATCCTCAGGGTGGTGTCTGAGGGAGAATAGGAGCTCAGTGATTCCTTGTGACTAGATGGATCCATAAATTGCTTCACTGTCATTGCACCAAGAACCTAAGGAATATTCTCCTTGGATTTTTCAAAGCAAGAGGAACTTTCCTCCTGTGTCCATGTTTCTGCGTCACATATTTCTTTAGTGGCCTTTTGTTCCTTTCTCACTCTTCACAGGGAAAGCGTTTTCTCATAGGAAAAAAAAAATGTTATAAATGGTGATTCAGTTCCTGAACTCCCCCACAAGCTTTACGTAACCCGTAAGGTACTTAAGTACTTATAAACTCTTCATGCATGAGTTAAATGGGCTTTTGTGAGCTGACTGGGCACCCAGCCTGCCATTTATAACAGAATTTTATGGGAGAATTTGCTGAGAGCTCAAAAAAGTTATAAATGTTTTGTAGTCTAAAAAATGCCATTGAACTGTAGACTCTCTGCTTGTGTTTGTGGGTTGTTGGTGGGTGAACAAGTTGATCCTTCTCTGAGATCCATAAAGGAAGAAGGATCTTCAGCCAAGTTAAGCTTGGTATTCAGGCAGAGAGGAGAACATAGTGAAACTAATGGGCACGTCAGCAACAATGTTTCTAGTGGCCTTCAGGGTCAGGGCAAGGCCTTCTGTGGCCCTCCTGAACTTCCGCCCTTTCTCACACAAGGTACTTCCGGTCCTGTGCTGGGCCATGCTCTAGTGATTCACCAGGACGATGAATGATAACTTTAGAAATTGCCCATATTGCTGCTGATACACAGGCCAGTCTGAGAGGCTCTGCTCCTTTTGAGCTTACCTCAGAGTCCTCGTATGCCTGGATGGTAAGAACATGCTATTGATTGATTGATTGATTGATTGAGGTGCTAGGGATTGAACCTAGGCAAACACTCTACCCCTTGAGCTGTACCCCTACCAAGAATGTGCTTTTTAGAGATAGCCCTGCCACTTCTGGTTTTGAGTCTTCAGCTTAGGTTAAAAATGGAGTCCGTTTTGTAATCTTCCCTCCTTGTTTTTTTTTCCCTACAGAAGAGCTAGATTCTCAGAATTTCCTTTTTCCCCACTTGAAAGGGACACCTGGTCACCTGTATCCTCTCTCCTTGCAGCATTTGCCATGCCGTTTGCTAATTTCTAGTCTAGGATAAAACTCATGATACTGGATTGGAATCAGAGGTAGTCACGTGAAAGCATGATTTTGTCTGTTTCAGGCTGACATGTGTATGTTTTGTAAGAAGGTTATGAACATCAAATCCATCAGGTTCAGTCAGCACATCTAACACACGTTGCTACCATTTGTATGCATGTGTGTGAGCGCATTTAAAAATGTACTCTTCTAGCAAACTTGAAATATACAATATAGGATTGTGCACATAGTCTACCCCCCTGTATATTAGATCCTCTGAACTGATTCCTCTTATAAGTGACCAACTGTTTGACCAATATGTTCCCACCTCCTACCCCCCAATCTCTGGCAGCCTCTTTTCTATACTCTATTTCTATGAATTTGGTTCTTATTGTGATTCCACATAAAAGTAAGAACATAAAGTACTTGTCTCATGGTTTTTGATATATACATAAGTAAATAGATTTAGGAATGAATATAACTCTGTGTGTGTGTGTGTGTGTGTGTGTGTGCATGAGGATATGGTGCAGCATCATACAAAATTTTCTACAACAGTGATATCCCAGCAGCAGTGAGCACACCCAGTGCTCAGACCTTGGTTCCTAAGGGCCATTTTCCAGCCAAAGGCATCAGGAACTCTTGAAGAATTAGTTGATTCTAGGACGGGGAAATAAAAATACAACATGATCCTGGAACATTTGTGGGTACCAAGTAAGGATGTTTTTGCAAGAGGATGGGGGGAAAAAGGGAAAGGAAAGAAAAAAATGAGAAAAGAAGGAAAAACACAAACAAAGCTTTTGTAAATAGGGAGGGGTGGAAGGGTTGAGGGAAGGGAAGAGGAATGGGAAAAAATAAGAACCAAGATATATGATGTACAGGTACAAATTCCCAATGATGAATATGATCATAATGTATACCTAAAATGTACCAATAAACTTAATAAATAATAATTAAGGACGGGGACATATGAAGAGGGTACAGGAGCCAACCTAAGGGAGCCCCCCCACTGGCCAAAGCTGGAACAGTTTGGACAAGCAAATTAATAAGGATATTGTTGGGTTATGGTTCATCAAATAAAATAAATGTCCACGCATTCATGTTGAAGGAAATGAAACAGCTTTTTCTTACAGAACAGTTTTAAGTCACAAACACAGAAGGAATGAGGAAATGAAAAACTCTCATCAGAATACCACATGACAGTTGCTGTAGGCAAGTCTACCAATGGCAGATGAAATTAGTTTGAGAAAGACTCAGAAGAAACAGGATACTTTCACAGTCTTATGGTAACCCCGCAAACAATTTTACGAAGGGAAACTGGTGTGGTGGCATGTGTCTGTAATCCCAGCACTGAGAAAATGAGGCAAGGAGGATTGCAAGTTCAAGTCCAGCCTGGGCAATTTAGTGACCTAGGAAGACCTTGGCTCAAACTGAAAATAAAAAGGGTCTGGTGACATAGTTCAGTGTGAAGGCCTTGGGTTCAAACCCCAGTATTGCTCACTGTCGCTCTCTGTCTCTCTGTCTCTCTGTCTCTCTCTGTTTCTCTGTCTCTCTGTCTCTCTCTCTCTCTCTCTCTCTCTCTTTCTCTATGCAGTACCAGCAGCAACACTGTGTTTAACAGCTGATCCAAGCTGACACCAACAGAAATAAGATAGGGGGCCATCCTGTGCCCTTTGAATAAGATGAACTGAGAAGGATGGATCCCTTCTAGATATCCTTGCCCAAACTTAATAGCCTAAATCTAACCATGACTAAACACCACACAAACCCGGAATGGGGGACATTCTACAAAATAACTGGCCAGTGTACTCAATGTCACGAAAAACAAGGAAAAGATGGAACTTTGTCACAGAACAGGGCAGTCGCAGGATGAGGCCTGCGTGTAACGATGTAGGCTCCCAGAGTGCAGCCTGAAGGAGCAGAAGGACACCAGGGAGGAGAGTGGTGAGGCTGGGATAGGATGTGTGCTTCATTAATGGTATTGAATCCATGCCATCTTCCGGAGTGTGTCATTGTGCTGTGGATCTGCGCACTGCTGATGTGACCAGAGTATGGGCGAGAGGGATATAGGAACTCAAGGTACTAATTTTGTAACTTTTCTGTACGTCTAAAATTATTTCAGAATAAAGAGTTTTAAAAAATTAAGAGTACCGGGTACATAGTAGGTACTTTCTAAATATGTGCTGAGTGATTGAATTTGAATATTAAATTATTGAAGAAGTCAGGAAGTAACATAACCTATATAGCTTTTGCCAAGTGGGGTGGGAGGATGAAGGCATCTTCCCCATATGATCATGATGCAGTTATCCAACCCTAGAAATTTATCATGGATGTAGTAAAACTGTCTACCATACTGACCCTGTTCAGTGTTTTCTGATCACTCCCAAATGTCCTCTTACAGATATTTGTTTGGTTGGTGTATTATTTGTTAGCCTGATACCACACTGGGCTGTCCTGTTTCCTTCATCTCACTGCGTCAGTGAGAAACAGTCTCCTGCCTTTTCCGACCCTGACATTTTTGAGGAGCACTGAGAATGGGCTGCTTTCCTTAGGATGACATTTTGCACGGGGTAGGAGACCATCATCGCTGGAAACACTCCTCCATGCAGCATGGCCGATCGCTCTTCTCAGGTCTCAGCTGATGGACTTGGGCTGCCATGGGTCTCCATTAGCCTTTCAGGTGAGACCTAGGCAGCTGTTGGCATCATTGTTCCTTTATTTTGGTACATGGTGAGCATTGGTCTGTCCCTTTTTAGAAAAAAATCTTTGGTTATTGTAGACAGGGTTTCACTAAAGAGTCCAGGCTTGATATCTTCCTGCCTCAGCCTCCTGAGACCTGGGTGTACAGATATGTACCACCATACCCAGCTCCTCTGTCCTCCTTCCATGCCCCTTTGTAGCTGGGGTTGTGTTCTCCTGAGATTGAACTTTCCATTACTCCCCATCCCAACCCAATGCTCAGTGCCACCCCACCCCACCACCCCAGGAGATGACAAGTTTAATCTCCTCCCACACTCAGTTTGGGGTTTGGCCTCCTGGGAAGCACCCCTCAGGGGGCATTCCTTTAGAGCAAGTAAGCCTAGCATATGGTAACCAGGGAATTCTTTGGCCAGCTACTGACTTATTCAAGAGTGTAAAGGCCACCAGACATGTGTCAGAAGCCAGCAGTTCCTTTGAAAACTCTGGGAACCTCATTTTCTTTTAAAGGGTTTCACAGAGCATTATTATTTTACAGCAAACAGAGATCTTTTATAACACCTGTGCTAGGGCCCACCCCACAGTGGACAACTGGTAATTGATGGCATCAGGGTCTGAACTATTGCTGATGACCGCAGATGCCCCCTGACAAACTGAGATTATAGCAAGATCCCCCCTGAAAGTGCCCCTGTTTCATATGGGGGCAACACACGTGAAGCCCTTGAGCTCTGGGGTCAGCAGACCTGGGATGGAACTTCAGTCGAGCTACTACTAATGGATCTGGGACAGGATCAACACCCTCTGCAAGGCTGTTTCTTCAGCTATAACATAGGTTGATAAGGCTTTTTGTGTAGGGCAATTACTAGAACAGAGCCCAGCACTGGGCCTGGTACAGGACAAGGGGCTCAGGAGGCAGTGCTAGTGTTCTTGCTATAGTCACGTTGTCACTGGATGGGGTCCAAGGAGGTCCCCCCAAAAAGAGATGGCGACTTCGGTTCACACTACCCATGGGGTGGGTTGTAGGTGCAGTGACTTATGTCACAGAAAAGACTTAAAGGAGAGTGACAAAGCTGGGGCTGGGGGTTTTCGTGTGGCCTTGGGGATGTCCCTCAGATGGATGGTCTAGGATGTGCATTCCT